GCGTTCCTGAAGCTGAGCCAGGGCAGGTCATAGTACTGCGCCTGGGCCCCGTAAATGTCCTCCAGCGTGGCCGCAAAGTGCACCTTCTCGCTGTTGCCGGGCGCGAACGCCATGCCCTTGGGCATCAGCTGCACCAGGACCACCGCGGGGTGGCGCCGCTTCTGCGGCGGTGCATTTTGGGCGGTGCGAGGGGACGAGGTGGGCGTTGGTGGTAAGGGTTGCGATGACCGGCGATGGTCTAGCCTTCTGAGGAGGACCCATGCGGGCGCTGCGGCTCACGCCATGCTCGGGACCTGGCCCAGGTATCAAACGCGTCGCCGCCGCGGCGGGAGGACTGGATAGACGGCAAAGGGGAGGTGGGGCAGCAGCAGCAATTCAACGCCGCCCGCCGCACCTGCAGGATCTTTCTCAGCAGCCGCTCGTACACCTTGGGCTTCACCAGGTCGTGGCTGCTCGTGAATCAGTGGGGCAGGGGCAGATAGGTGACACCCAGGTGACATTATTCAGGTGACATGAGGTGAGATCGGGTGAGGTCCAGTGACACTGACAGTGGGCGGCGCGAGCGCCCTCAGACACCAAAGTGGGGTCCAAGGAAGGTGCGCCCACGCCGCCGGCTGCTGCGTGGACGACGGCCGCCAACGAGCAGGAGCAGCGCATAGGCCTCGCCGCATCATCCCTCCGCGCGGATCACTCACGCGTTGGAGCCGTCGTTTGCCACATACTCCACAAATAACAGGTCCACGTCTGGGGGAGAGGGGCGAGTGGGACGGCCGACGGCGCACTTGACCGGGTGCGTTGGTGCCTCAAGGCGCATGGCGCAGGTCGGTCTACCCATGCAGCCGCAGCAGCTGGCCATGACCCCTGCGTTTGGCCGCTGCCCTGCGCTCCAGGGCGCGATGCACGACGCCGGCTCCCACCCCGGCCCTGCCCCGCCGCAGCGTCCCGCCTCCTCGCAAGGGGGCACCCTGCCCACTGGCGGCGCGCCGAGCTCTTCTGCGGCCGCAGCACCCACCGACGTCGACATATGTTTCCAAGCACATGTTCATGAGCGCGCTGGGCGTCGCCGGCAGCGCGCCGTTGCGCGTGGTTATGTTGGCCCGGGGGAACGCATCCCGGAGGTACTTCGACACCAGGCTGTGGGGGTTGGCGGGGGGTTATATGTGTGCGGTTGTGCGTGTTAGGTGGGCGGGCCAGCAAAGGAGCTAGCGCACTGCTGTGCTGACTGCAAGGAGTGTCGAAAAACACACAGGACACGTACGACACGCGCATGCACAGCCACAGCCACAGCCACGCATGCGCGCCGGTGCGCACGCATTCCCATGCGCACGGGTGCCACACAACGCCTCTTGTACGCATGCCTGCGCACGCACGGATGCACGTGCACGCGCGCGCGTGCACACACACACACACACACACACACACATACACACACACATACACACACACACTCAATCAATTACACACTTGCACGCACATTCGAAACTCGCACACACACACACACACACGCACGCACGCACAGGCAGACAGCTGGAGGCGCACACACGCAACCCCACGCACCTGAACCAGTCCGTCTCCCCGATCTTCGACGCCTTTGCGCCGTGCGTGATGCTGCCGCCGATGGCGCCCACGCGCACGTGCTTGCCCACAATCAGGTCGTGCACCACGCGGCGCAGCCGGGCGTTGGGGCCGAGGTACACCAGCGACTTCTGGACCTGTTCGATTTGGGGTTCAAACGATGCAAACCACAGTGTCGTTGAAGCCTCAAGTTGATGCACGAGTACCGTTGTTGACACAGGACCACCGCCAGGGGGGGTAACAGCCCGGGTTGCGCGGCGGTAGGCGCGACCCGCGTACTGCGCGCAGCAGGAGGACCCCGGGCCGGAGCTGCATGGCAGCCCAGGGGGCGGTCAGCGTGCCCACCTGCGCCGGCGGCAGCTCGTATTTGTGGCGCAGCACTGGCCCGAGCAGATCGGCGATGCCCCTGTCGTCGACGGAGACCTGCGCCAAGCGGTGCAGATGCTGGCGCCACTGCGTGCGTCCCAGATCGCGCGTGTGCTCCTTAACTGCCTCGCCGCCTTCGTCCCCGCCCTCCGCGCCCTTGCGGCGCGCGCCACCGGCGCCCGCAGGGCCGGACTCCTTGGCTGCCGCCAGCAGCGCGAGGAACGCCAGCGCGAGCAGCGCGCGGGCCGCCCGCCGCTGGGGCGCGGGGGCGTGCCAGGGCATGCCGGCGGAACCGCTGGGCGCGGCCCTGGGCGGCCGGAGTGGCTGGTGCGGCGCACAACAGGTGTCCGCGCGTCGACGCGCAGCCCCGACACCTCCCTTGCACGGGTTAGGGGGCCTGCAGCTGAGGTCTGATGATTGGGATCACTCGCCACCAACAATATCTTTTAATTCAAGGGCCTGCAACGGCTACTTGTTACGGGGGGGCATGGACATATGCTCGCACAAGTATGGCGGGGTCAGTGTTTAGCTTTTAGACAATTGTATAGTCTTCCACTTAAGGCAATAATTGTTTTTGAATTTGCACCGATCAAGTGCAGCTGTCGTTCAGACTGATCTTGTGCAGCGAGTGATGATCAGTGAATGAGCCGCCCGCCCAGTGCTGATACCGTAGGGTCAAGAAGTACATATCGGAAACTTAGTGGCGTTCGGCAGGCAGCTATCGCAGCAGTGGGACCAGCAGCGGTCAAAGGCCACAGGCACACAACAACGAGGGAAGGGGCCAACAGAAGCACATGGGGAACGCCCACACTCTGCCCAACAGGGGTGAGCCGAGGCTTCAGCACGCAGAACTTGGTGGTCCCCTGCGGTTGAACTATGAGGGATGGAACGAACGACGAGGCTGCGCCTTGCTGGCGCTCCGGGCGCCCGTCTGCTGAACGCTGCTGCTGCTGCTGCTGCTGCTGCTGCTGGGACGGCGGCCGCGCCAGTAGAACGGCGGGCGCCTCCCGTGCACCCCAACCACGCTCTGCTCACAAACCAGCGTGGCCCAACTCGCCGCGCCTGCCCCACCTCCCTCCAGCCGCCCCAACCCGCAGGACCCCGCGCGTCCGCCTGCGCACCCGCGCCAAGCCCGCGCCGCCCCCGCCGCCACGGCCCCCGTCCCCGTCGCCATCGGAGAACGCACGGGCCAGCTTGGTGCAGGCGTTCTTGGAAGAGCTGCCAGGCGGCTCTTTAGTGGTGTATGCGCGCGCGTTCGAGCTGGCGGGCATGACCACCCCCGACGCGCTCGCCTCCATCTGTGGGTGGCACGACCCCTGGCTGCAAGGAATCGGGGGCGGCAGGGACGGCGCCCTGGGACGCGCTCGGCGGCTGCTCGAGGGTGGACTCAGGGGCTGCAGCGCGCTCGTTGCAGCAGCTGCGGCGGCATGCCCGACACGCGCAGATACGAGAGGGTCTATGGAGTGATACGCCGACACACACACACACTACACACACACACACACACACACACACACACACACACACAC